AGATTGCCGGGAGAAATATCAATAATCTCAGATATACAAATGATACCACCCTTATGGCAGAAAGCAAAGAGGAACTAAAGAGACTCTTGGTGAAAGTAAAAGAGAGTGAAAAAGCTGGCTTAAAACTCAGCATTCAGAAAACGAAGATCATAGATAGCATCCAGTCCCATCACTTCATGGCAAATAGATGGGGAAACAATGGAAACAGTGACAGACTTTATTTTGAGGGGTTCCAAAATCACTGCAGATGGTGATGCAGCCATGAAATTAAAAGACACTTGCTCCTTAGAAGAAAAGCTATGACCAACCTAGACAGCATATTAAAAAGCAGAGACATTACTTTGCCAACAAAAGTCTGAATGGTTTTTCCAGTAGTCATGTATGGACCATAAAGAAAGCTGGACCATAAAGAAAGCTGAGCGCCAAAGAATTGATGCTTTTGAACTGTGGTGTTGGAGAAGACTCTTGAGAGTCCCTTGGACAGCAAGGAGATCCAACCAGTCCATCCTAAAGGAAATCAGTCCTGAATACTCATTGGAAGGACTGAGGCTGAAGCTGAAGCTCCAGTACTTTGGCCACCTGATACAAAGAACTGACTCATTTGAAAAGACCCTGATGCTGGGAAAGATTGAAGGCGGGAGGAGAAGGGGACGACAGAGGATGGGATGGTTGTATGGCATCACTGACTCAATGGACATGAGTTTGAGCAAACTTTGGGAGTTTGTGAGGGACAGGAAAGCCTGGTGTGATGCAGTCCATGGGGTCACAAAGAGTCGGACACAACTGAGTGACTGAACTGATAGGTTTTCATTTCCCTTAGGTAATGTTATGGATTTAATGTGTCCCTCCCCAAATTCGTATGTTGAATTTAATACCCAATGTGACTGCATTTGGAGATTGGGCCTCTAGGGCTTCCTCGGTGGCTCAGTGGTAAAGAATTTGCCTGCAGTGCAGGAGATGTGGGTTCGATCCCTGGGTTGGGAAGATCTTTTGGAGAGGGAAATGGCAACCCACTCCAGTATTCTTGCCTGGGAAATCCCATGGAGAGAGGAGCCTGGCAGGTTGCAGTCCATAGTGTCTCAGAGTCAGACACGATTGAGCATGCGAGCATACACCGAGGTAATTAGGTTAGATGGAGTCATAAGGATGGGGCCCTAATCCCATTGAACTAGTGTCCTTTAAGAGAAAGGGCCACCAGAGTCCTTTCTCTGTGAGTGCTGGGGAAAGGCCATGTAAACATACATCAGGAAGGTGGCTGTTTGCAAATCAGGAAAAAAATATCCCTCCAGAAACCAAATTTGCCAACACCTTGCTTGTGGATGTCTTAGCCTACAGAACTGGGAGAAAATGTCCGTTATTTAGGCTACTAATTTGGTGGCATTTTGTTATGGCCGCCTGAGCAGACTGATATGGGTCAACAGTCTATGGTAAGTGTATGTTTACCTGTAAGGGAAGCTGCCGGACTGTTTTCCAGAGTGATGTTACCATTTTGCATTCCCACCAGGAACATGTGAGAGTTCTGGTTGCTCGGAAGCTTTGCTAATGTATGATATCGGTAGTTTTTATTTGTAGTTTTTTTTCTTTTTTGGCAGCATTGTGCAGCCAACCAGGGATTTAGTTTAGTTTCCCAACCCTGGATTGAACTGGGAACCTTGCATTAGGAGCAGGGAGTCTTAACCACTTGTTTGACCACCAAGCAAGTCCCTATTTGTTCTTTTTTTTTTAATATTTATTTATTATTTTTTTTGGCTGCCTCAAGTCTTAGTTGTGGCACGTGTATCTTCACTGTGTGACATGGGATTCTTCATTGTGACGCTTGGGTTCAGTAGCTGCAACGCACAGGCTTAGCTGCTCCAAGGCATATGGGATCCCAGTTCCCTGACCAGGGATCGAACCTGAGTCCCAGGCACTCTAAGGCGGACTCTCAACCACTGGACCACCAGGGAAGTCTCCCTATTTGTTCTGTCTGTTAGTATCTTCTGAATGCTATGTGGTATAGGTAGTAAAAGTTAAGAAGGCATTTTAAAGCTGAAAATATATTGAAATTATCCTACTGAAGTCCCCTCCATCATTGTGGGCCATATCCCATTTCTCTTTCCTCGTCTTTCCACTGGCCTCATTCTGTTCCTAGGGCAATGTCCCCTAGGCAGAGACAGCTAGTGATCTGGCAAATTACAGTCTTCGTTAGAGGTGAATCCATTTCTGAAAAAGTTAGGGAAGAGGTTAGGTGTGGGCAAGTCTGGCTTCATGGGCCCTTATACTTCATTTACAGTTCTACTGTCACCATTTTGAAATTCTTAGTGATTTTTTTTTTTGTTAGTGATTTTTTGAACAAGGGCCCACATTTTAATTTCACACGGGCCCCATGATTGCGTAACCTGTCCTGGGTGTGGGCATCACGGGCAAGGCAAGGCTTCTCACCAGATTCACTCTGAAAAGGGCCCTCATCTATTCTCACCAACCACACCTCTAAATTAACCCAAGCCCAACATGAGGGTTTTACCTGTCTCCTTGCTGCTCCTGCTGTCTGTCTTTTGTGCTGAGTTGGTATAAGCATGATTAATCTGGAGGTTTCACGAGAGAATCATTGGCTTAGCTTCTCAGTATCTAAATGAGTATTTGCGTTAATTAGGGCCTCTTAATTGGAAGGCAAATGCAACCTCTTTCTCCCACCCTGACACCTCCAGACTGTACTTTGGGGTTTATATGGGAGAGGTAAATTGACAACATTAAATGCCTTCCTAATTGTCATTCTGCCAGCCTGGTTGGCAAGAAGCTCATTCAAAGGCAGGTGATTTATAGGAAAGGCTTACCACATTCTTGTGGATTACTGAGTGCCTAAGTCCTGGAAGATAAATGGCATGAACCAAAGGCAGTGGCGGTGGGGGCAGGAGGGGACAAGGACAGGGAAGATTCCAGAGCTTGCAGGCAGCATCCTGAACTGGCTGCCAGACACGGAGTTGACCTCAGGCCACTGACCTAACCACTCTAGACTCAATTATTTCACCTCTAGAGTGGCTTAATAATACTCCCGCATGGGGCTGTTTGATTGTGACGAGTAAATGAGAGGACTTGCGTGAGATATCCGAGGCTGGCATGTACCCACCCCTCCATCAGTGAGTGGGAGCTAATGTCACTTTTGATGGCTTTGTGCATACTTGGAAAAGACTGCACTCTCTGCTTCTCTTAAGAGCTACTTCGTAGACCTGCCTGATCATCTTTCCAGCTTCCTGGGAGCTGGGCCAGAATTATTGGGCTCCTTTTGGAGTTAGGAAAAGAAAAGCAAGGTGATCAGACATAAAATAGAAGTCAAATGTAGAGTGTTTGGCTTCCCTGGTGGTTCAGTGGTTCAGAATCCACCTGCCAATGCAGGGGACGTGAGTTGGATCCTTGATTCGGGAAGATCTCACCTGCCTCAGAGCAACCAAGCCCATGTGCCACAGCTACTGAAGCCTGAAATCCCTAGAACCTGTTCTTCAAAATAATTGCAATGAGAAACCCACGCATGCAACTAGAGAAAGCCTGCTCGCAGCAACAAAGACCCAGCGCCACCAAAAAAAAAAAAAAAAAAAAAAAAACCCAACTTAAAAATATATAGAACATTTGTTCACAGCTTTGAAAACCTTTACTCATATGTCCAGATTAAAAGAGCAATGACAGGCCTCCCAAACTGATGTCACCATCATATGGTCTGATGGGGTCTTTAAAATAAGTGAGAATGGTAATAGTGGTGGCGCTGGGTCTTTAAGGTCTAACAGCCAGGAAACAGCTGCGGTGGGATTTGAACTTGGGTTCCTCAGATTCCACCGCAGCTGTTTCCTGGCTGTTAGACCTTAAATGAGTTATTCTGTCTTTTCTGAATCTCAGCGTCTCCATCTGTTAAACGCAAGTTAAATAACACAACCTACTTCTTGGAATGGTTGTGAAGATAAAAGAAGATGATGAAAGTAAATTGTGCTTGGCACAGAGTAGCACTTGGTACCTGCTAATTTGCTTATTTATTTGTTTATTTTTCTCCAGTTTTATTGAGATATAACAGACATAGCGCTGAATGGGCTTCCCTGATGGCTCAGTGGTAAGGAATCTGCCTGCAGTGCAGGAGATGCAAAAAACCCAGGTTTGATCCCTGGGTTGGGAAGATTCCCTGGAGTAGGAAATGGCAACCCACTCCAGTATTCTTGCCATGGAAAATTCCATGGACCATGGAGTCTGGCAGGCTACAGTCCATGGCGTCGCAAAGAGTCCAACACAACTGAGTGACTGACCATGAACGATAGCACTGTATAAATTAAGGTGTGCAGCCTAATGTTTTGACTTTCCTATATCATGAAATAATTAGCACAATAAGTTTAATGAACATCCATCCTCTCTTAAAGATACAACGTTAAAGGAACAAAAAATTGTGTGTGTGTGTGTGATGAGAACTCTTAGGATTTACTGTTACCAACTTTCATATTTAACATACAGCACCATTAATACTAGTTCTTTTCATTACTTACTTGTTTGGGTAGCCCCTGGAATCCAGATCTTAGGACTTCCCTTCCCATTCTTCAACCTGGGTGGAGGGGGCATTCTAGGGTAGGGAATGGCCTCCAAGTGGGGGGTCTGTGAGCCCCGGGAACTGAATTTGACCCTGGGGCAAGGGGGAAGGGCACAGCTAGTTGCTTAGTAACAGGGCTTTCTTTGCAAAGCGAAGAGAGGCCTGGTGTTTACAGGTAACTAGGTGGGGGGGTTGTAATTTGTAAAGAAGTTACAGGTTAAACAAAAGTGAATTCTTCCGATGGAATGAATAGGGCTTGGTTGAACTAGTTGGCTTAGCCGGAAGGGCCCCCTTCCAGGCTCAGCCCACCCCACAGATGCAGGGGGAGGAGGGGGTTGGGGGGCGGCGTTGTGATTATGCAGATTGGACTGGTGTCTCCCGGTGACCATGGAAACCAAACCCGTTCTCTTTCAGCTGTGCTCTGAGGAAGGGTTATTTAACTCCGGCCCTCGCGGATCAGCCGCACAGACCCTACTCACCTCGGGACCTCCCAGGGCACTCGCCCTCTGCGTCCGACTGAGATGGGGTGCCACTCCAGCAAGAGCACCGAGGTGGCGGGGGAGTCCCAGAAACCCGCAGAGCAGCCCGAGGGAGAGGAGCCAAATCTGGGGGCTGGCCCAGAGGCCGCGGACGGCAGAGACACCTCCTTGAAGGACGGCGCCCCGGAGCAGAAGAACTGAGATGCTTCGCTGTGGATTCGCGGACCCTCACCTCAGCCCTGGAACTGCCTTTGGCCAGTGAAACTCGAGAGGAGCCCGGCCTGAGAAGCTCCGAGGAGAAGGAGGAGAGGGAATCCCCGCCTTCGGGATCCAGGCTGCGGAAGTCACCTTCACCAGGCTTTGCTCTGGAGCTGTGAGGGGTCGCGGCCCGGGTAGCCCTATTTCCCCAGCTCCCCGATAGACAGAGAGGATGAAAGAAGTCATCTCACATGATGGGACTTTTCCCTGAGCCCCCTGGCTGACTGACTGCTCCGACTGATCAATCTCTGCTGCTGAGATGTGCCGGTCCTGTGACCCCCATCCTTCCAGCGCTTCACCTCTCTGAACTCTGAAAGCTCTCTGGCCACGGTGTTGATGGGGACGTGTGGCTGGCAGTTTTCTTGTTTTGCTTTTTCCCTCCCTCTCCTTTTTCTAATAGCTGGCTGAATAGCCAGTGCCTCTCACAGGAAGCTTTGGGGTTTGGCTCAGTCCACACTGTTCGTTTGAACACTTCAATATTTAACTTGGAGAGTTGTTAATGAGTTATGGGAACAATCAGGATCAGACTGATCATGGCAATGGAAGACAGAAAGGCCTTGATCATCCAGTAAGTGGAACGCTGAGTACTGGTGGGAAGGAAGGAGGAGGGTTTCATGTTCCTGGTGTTTTAATCCCCAGAAAAATGCCTGTCTTCTAATGTTCCTGCGTCTCTCCCTGTCAATTTGAAGAGCGTTTGAGCTGTCTGTATCCAGCCTTCGGAAATATTTCGCTGTTTACTCACATGTCTGTCAGCCTCTCTTTTCCCCCTCCTTTCATGTGTTTCGTTTTTAATGTGACTCAGAAGCATTTTAATTTGAAATCAAACAGACATGTTTGCAAATAAATGATGACACAACACGTTTGAAGGACAGGACCGGGGAGCTGAGACTAGAGGATCAGCGGGGAAGGGTGGGTGTAATTCAGTAGAACGTGATGAGAAACGGGGCTATGAGCCTTTCCTTGGTTTCAGGCATCACGGTGAGGATTAGCCACCACAACCATCCCCGTTTAATAGACGAGAAGGTTGAGGGTAGTAAGAGATTAAATAACTTGCCTGAGCATGGCCAGCCAGGATGGGGCAGAACCCAGATTTGAGCCCCAGATTTGACTTCCCCCAGCAGCTGAATTCACCTCTGCAGAGTCCTGCATAAAGTGTGGGGGGTCTTTCCCACAAGTAAATGGAAATCCATGTCCTGTTCCAGCCTGTGTGTAGTGGGGGCCATTTCTCTTTACTCAATTGAATCTACTTGCCTATGGGGGAGGCAACTGGTCAACTAGGATCACCCCACTTGCAGTCTGGGTGATGCTTTGTGTGCTTGCTGAGTCGTGTCCGACTCTCTGTGACCCCGTGGACCGTGGCCCTCCAGTCTCCTCTGACCCTCTGGATTTTTCCAGGGAAGAATACTGGAGCGGGTTGCCAATGCCTTCCTCCAGGGGATCTTCCTGACCCAGGGATTGAACCCCTGTCTCCTGTGTCTCCTGCATTGGCAGGCAGATTCTTTACCACTGTGCCATGGGTGATGCTTTGAGGGCCTTTTATTTATTATTCTGGGAGTGTGGGGTGGGTTGGGTGATGAGAAGCAGGGAGATGGAAGAATGGAGAAAAAGAGGCAGCATGCTACTGGAAATGACCCTTGTTTTGGCCATCAGAACCTCAGAAACTGAATAAGATTGTTTTGAGGATCTGGCAGTGGGGGTAAAGAGAACGAAGGACCAGAAGTGAAGCAATTTGGCCTGCAACTTGACTACAAAAACGTCACTTTTGCTTCAGCAGAGCCTGACGTCTTTCAAGGAGGGAGCAGGAGAGTTGGGGCCTCCTCAGCTGGCCCGAAGCCCTGCTCTTTCCCAGGGGTAGGAAACTTGCAGTGGGCCAGGAAACAGGCCTGGGCTTGCAGCTGGGGATCAGGAAGTTTGGGGCCTCTTTCTGCAGCTTTCTGGGCATAGGCCAAGCTCTGGTAACTGCTTTCAATTTTTTTTTTGAAACACAGTTCTGTTTTTTGCCCTCCTCCCTCCTAATGGAAATTCACCCTGCAAAACAGGATGGTGTCTGGTCAGGAGCTGCTCACAGTGTCCACCCTCGGGACTCTTGGAAAACGTTCAGCTGGTGGTGAGGTTTGCAGGCAGGGTGGTGCTCATTTCCATCAGCTCCTGAGGGGCAAAACGCACTCAACTTCTTAGCAACTCCAAATGAAGGGGACTCCAGGTCCTTAGAAGTTCAGAAACAGGGTGGTTTGTTTGGCTTCCTCCTGGGATGGTGCAAAATGCTCATTTAATTAAATGCGAGATCTCTGAGGGTTTTAAAAACAGGATTCTCAAAAAAAAAAAAAAAAACCAAAAAAAAAAACAACCCAGGATTCTTCATCCACCTCCAGCTGTGGCAGGCATGTTGCAATTTGCCAGGAAGTTAATCTGTAACAGGAAAAAGGACCCAGTTTCTTTTTAACTATATTCCAGTTGTGCCACAGAGGCCCAGTATCACCCAGCTATCTCCCTCTGAGGCTCAAGTGCCTAGTATAAGTGGCGAGAATTATGTCTACGCAAATGAACTTTACACCCTTTAAAGGCAGGTCTGCATAGACTCAGCACATAACTTGGAAGCCATTTCTCTGGCCCACTTCCACAACTACTCGAGGAGGAGGATTTTGCTTACTAGACACCTTTCTATCCACTTATCTCTCCATCTATTCATCCATCCCCCTAGTTATCCAGTCCATTCAATCCATCTATCTAGTCAGTCTATCTATTTACCTACCTATGTATACTATTTACCTTTACCCTGATGCTGGAAAAGATTGAAGGCGGAAGAAGAAGATGACAGAGGATGAAATGGTTGGATGGCATGCAATGGACATGAACTTGGGCAAACTCCGGGAGATGGTGAGGGACAGGGAAGCCGGGCGTGCTGTAGTCCATGGCGTCACAAAGAGCTGGACATGACTTGGCAACTGAACAACAACAACCGATACATTCAGCTCTTCCCTTGGATTTTTCAGTTCTATGAGTCAATCAACTTCCCATTTCAAACCAAATCCATTTATTAAGCAAATATTTATTGTTTCGCCCACTCAGTCACTATTCCTTGCTCCATCCATCCATTAATCCAGCAGTTACTGGGAGACTATTCTTCTGTGCTATACTTAGTTGCTGAGTTGTGTCCAGCTCTTTGCAACCCCATGGACTATAGCCTGCCAGGCTCTTCTGTCCATGGGGAGTCTCTAGGCAGGAATACTGGAGTGGGTGGCTATGCCCTCCTCCAGGGGGTCTTCCCAACCCAGGGATCGAACCCAGGTCTCCTGCATTGTAGGTGGATTCTTTACCAGCTGAGCCACCAGGGAAGCCAAGAAATACTGAAGTGGGTAGTCTATCCCTTCTCCAGGGAATCTTCCTGACCCAGGAATCAAACTGAGGTCTCCTGCACTGCAGATTCTTTACCAGCTGAGCTACCAGGAAAGACCTACTCAGAGACTCCTCCTTTATTTGTTAATAAAATGTTGAGGTAGTCCTGGGAGCGCAACCTGGAGCAGGAAAGTCAGCTTTGATGAGACCTATATGGAGCCTTTATGAGTAAGTAGGAACTAGCTAGTGAAAACAGGGTAAGTGTTTCAGGAGAAGGGGGACGTATGGGCTGCGAGGTTGTGATATGCAGTATTGTGGGAGCGAAGGGCCCATCACACAGTGACAGGGAGGTGAGGATTAATAAGTGAAAGGACCACAGATCATGGAGGGCCTTGTGGTTCATACTGGGAGGCTAAGTGTTCATCCTAATGGTGATGAGGAGCTCATTGGAGGACTTTAGGCAGAGGAATGATGCCAAGATATCACTTGCTTTTGACTGCTTTGTATCTTGCCTTCTGGTAACAAATCCCATTTTTTCCCCTTGGGGAACCCTTTGCTTATCCACTCTTGGTTTACACGACTCGATGGGGCTGATCCCATCCTCGGGTACAAGGCTGAGCACTGCACCTCCCTGGTCAGCGTGACTGACTCAAGGAACGGCATCCAACCCAAATCAGTACAGTGAGTCTTCTGGGAGACTTTTTGTTGGCACAATTATGAAAGACGTATTCACTTTCTTTTGGAGTTAATAAAATAGTAGGATTTTAGCTTGGCACCTCTTAATGGCATTTTCCCCTCTGGGCTGGAGAGGGTCTGCTTGAGAACAAAGCCACAGAAGAGAATGGCGTTCTGAGAAGGAGAGACGTATTCCCAATGAGCTTATTTGGGCAACTGGATCCAGCCATGTGAGCAGCTATGACCACCCCTAAAGATTTACACAAACCAATAGATTCTCAGTCCCCCTCCCCCCCGCCAAGAGTGATGTGAATTTGGTTTCTGTCATTTTCAAAGAACTATGAGTAAGTCAGCTCAAATCAGATTTGCACTTTAAGTAGAGGCAGCTGGTAGCCATTTGAAGGATGCAGTTGAGAGGAGTAAGGCTAGAAATGGAAACAGCAACGAGGAGACAATGGCCTGTTCCAGGAAAAATGCATCAGGCAGGTATTCCTGTTAAGAGCTGGGACCTCCCTGGGAGTCCAGTGGCTGAGACTCTGTGCATCCAATGCAGCGGCCCTGGGTTTGATCCCTAGTCAGGGAACTAGATCTCATATGCCGCAACTAAGGGTTCACATGCCACCACTAAAAATCCTGCATGCTGTGATGAAGATGGAAGATCCCGGGTGCTGCAACTAAGACCCAGTGCTGCAAAAAAGAAAAAAAAAAACAAAATCCAAAACTATTTTGCAACCACAAAATCTCAGTGGCACACAGGCATAAGCTTTTCCTTCAAACTCGTGTGCTTCTGGGTCACTGTGTTTCAGGCAGTCGAGGCTACCTGAGGAGTGTTTCACGCGATAATGGCAGGAGCACAAGAGCCCGAGTCCAGTTTGCACAGCTACAGTCACGTCTAATACTGCTCCATTGCCCACAGCGAGTCATGTGGCCAA